TGGGCGCCCTGCCCCGAGCCGCGCCGCCTCCTGAGTACCGCCGCCGCGCCGGCCGCCGAGCCGTGCGGGGCCAGGCCGCGCCTCCCGGGCGCCCGCCGGCTCGCATGCCGAGGGCTCGCGGGCGTAGCTGCGCGCCCGGCGCCGCCTCCGGCTCCTCCGGCCCCGCCATGGGCTGCTGCAGCTCCGCCTCCTCCGCCGCGCAGGTGAGGGGCGCCGCCTCCCGGCCGCTCGCCCGATGCCTCCCGCGCCGCGCGGCGGGCGCCCGCCTCCGATGCCTCTCGCTGCCCCCAGCCGCCCTTCAGCCCCCCGTCGCTCCAGAGACCCTCCCCCGGCCCCGCCCCGCCCCGCTCCCGGCGGCGGCCCCGCCCGGCCGGTAACAATCGCGCTGGGAGGGGGACGCCGCGTCGGCGCCGCGCTGCGGCCAATCCGGGGCGCCACCCGCGCCGCGTCACAGGCCGAACAACCACACGGAAAAGTTTGATAAACAGCGGACGGAGGGCCGGCGGCGGCGGGGCCGGAGCGAGCTGGGGTTCGGCGGCCTCACCTGTGCCCACTCACCGGCGGCGACCGGCGGCGGCGGGCGGCGCGTCAGGCGGAGGGAGCCGCCGCCAGGTGAGCCGCGGGCGCCCCTCCCCTCCCCCACGCCGCGCGGCATGCCGAGGGGCTCCGGGGCGTAGCTGCGCGCCCGGCGCCGCCTCCGGGCTCCTCCGGCCCCGCCATGGGCTGCTGCAGCTCCGCCTCCTCCGCCGCGCAGGTGAGGGGCGCCCGCCTCCCGGCCGCCCGCCCGGATGCCTCCCCCGCGCCGCGCGGCGGGCGCCCGCCTCCGATGCCTCTCGCTGCCCCCAGCCGCCCTTCAGCCCCCCGTCGCTCCAGAGACCCCCACCCCGCCTCCCGCCCCGCGCGTCCCGCGGCTGCCCCGGCGCTGGCTCGCGCGGCTGCGGGCTCTCGGGCGCCTTTGCGCGGCCCCCGGTGCGCCCTCGGCTCTCCCCGGCCCCTTCCCGACCTGGCCTCCTGCCCCCAGTCACACCTGAGCGCCGTCCCGCCCGCCTGCAGGTAGAGGCGACGCTGGCGCCTCCCCCGTGCCCCAGGTGGCACCCCCTTCCCTCGTCTGCCGGGCCTGGCTCCTCTTGCCCACCTCCGCCGACTGCGTTCTGTGTCCCTGGACGTGCACCCGACCTGGGCTCCTCGCCTCTCCCACCAGTTTCTGCTCCATTAGATATTCTGCCCCCTTCCTCTCGCCCCCGCCCCCGGCCGGGCTCAAGTGTTTCCCCGGGGCCGGAGCCCTGGCACGGCCGCTTCCCGGGCCCGCTCGCCGCCTCCCACCCCATCCCCCCTTTGTGCCTTGACCCCGGGCACCGCGGCCTGCCCGCGCCGAGGCCCCTGCGGGAGCGCTGGCTCCGGGCCGGCCAGGAGATTGGGCACCTGGTGGGTGACGGGAGCGTTTCGGAAACTCCCTCTTTGTTGCCAGTGTAACAGGAGGAAGAGGTGCCGAATTTAGTTTTTCTGTGGGTACTGGCTGAATGTCGCTGAGCGCTGAGATGCAGAGATTTCTCCCAGCTTCCACCCTGCCCCCATCCAAATTTCGCCAACCTCCTTCTCCGATCCGAGCCCTTAACCTGGGTGGAAATGTTTAGACAACTGTATGGGGATCAAATGTAATAGAACTTGACTGCTGGCCACTAATAACTGAGAGGACCTGTTTGTAAATTACCTAATTTAGTGGATTAGTGAGTGTATTTACAAATACGATAAAAAGCAATCAGGAATACTGCATCAAACTGTCTGGTGGTGGTGTATGAAAAATAGGCTCTGACAACGCCTGGGATGTAATCTCACAGTTTCATTAGCGTAGAATTTAACTGTGGTCTGTGATTTGTTTGTTTTGGGGGGCAGAAAAGGGCTCTTGTTTTTAGAAATAAAAGCTGGTTGGTTCTTGGTGAAGAAAAATGCTAGTTTGGGGAAAAAATTCCTCCAGAGATCTAACATCTGTGATAATGCCAGAAGTGTTTTGCTGCTGCTAAATGACTATATATAACTCAGTTTTAAATAACCTGCATACTTGTTCTAAAAATCTGAGATCTGTTCGAAAATGACTAGAATTGCAGATGAATGGAGGACATTTATGTTTTATTAGGTATCCATCCTATTTGTTCAGTTCTTTTTTTTTTTTTTTTTTTTGAGTGTTTGATTACCCGTTTGCTCTTTTTTCTTTTTTTCCTACTAGGATTATAGTCAGCTTGATTGGTGTAGTTAAACCTTCCTATTCAGTTAGAATAGCAAAAGAAAAGTATATGTGGTGGTGTTAGGAAGGAGAGGCTTGATAAGTCAGGGTTTTCCTATAACATATAAAGGTTACACATACCTTTCAACTGTAGGAATTGGGGGGGGGCGTCTAGATGGGTGCTATTCATGTAATATTTACTTAAATGTAATTTCACCAAAATAGTATTTTTCACATTGCCTTTTCTTTTCAGAATTGGGTTACTTTACATTCTGTTTTGGTGGTGAAATGCCTTTGAGACAGGAAAGTATTGATAGTTTATGGATGGCTTGTTCAGCGTGTGAACGATTAAATTTGGGAGGGATGGATGATGCACCAGAAGTCTGCTTTAATAACAGGTAGTGGGTCTTGCATTTGTCTAGCTCCACAACATACTTTTCAGAATGCTGGCATATACATTTTCTGTGCTTTTACTTCGTCTTGCAGTTGCTATTTCCTTCATGCCATGTTCTACAGACAAGATGCATGTCATGTACCCGAAGGATGCCTTTTTTCCTGTGGCTTCCTATAACCAATCAGCAGCTGTCACATGCCTTTAAGTTCAGCTTTAGGGACTTGTAGTGTTCAGTGGAGCATTGAGGAACAGGTTTTGTGCCAAAGAGCTGGTCATGAGGTTTTTTTTTTGTTTGTTTGAGATTTTTGGCTTCCTCTTCATTTGTGAAATGTTAATGATCTGCTGGCATTTTAAAGCTCCTTTCAGAAGCATCATCAGTTTTAGAATACTATTGTATCCATATGTGTTGTGTTGAAATAAAATAGGAATGCAACTCCAAATCTTCTCCAGAGGGAAATGGCCACATCATTTTGAGCCTCTTTTAGGGGCCTCAAATGTATTTTCAAGCAGAATATGTTTGTTTCATCCCTTCTATGCTATTGTAAGCTTTTTGAGTATAGAGATGGCATTGTTTTGCTCATCTTTGTATCTATCCATTGTAGTGCCTCCCTGTACCTTGTACATGATAGTTGCCCAGCAATAGTCACTGATCTGGAATGTATACATACAAATTTGAACATCTGGCTAGCAAGTAACATTGAATATGAAGACATCCCTGACCCATGTACTGTTTCACTTCCATGGCTGGTTGACTAATTCCACCAAGCCATCCTCTCTGAACTCAAACCTGCACTGTTTAACCCTTTGCACTCGGATGTCGAGTGTGACTCGACAGGGTTAGCAAAAATTATAGAGATTAAAATTACTCTTTGAATGTATCAATAATTTGAAATATAAATAAATAAGTTTGTATGAAAAGAAACTCCAGTTTTTTATTCTACTGTCGCACTTTGTAAAATCTGGGGTAATTAAAAAATTAAATCCCGAGTAGAATAAAGGAATCGAGAAAAAAGCAAGTGAGTGCAAAAGGTTAAGTTAAAATTTACCTGCCTTTCTCAACATTCCTTCTTATTCTATCAATGGTACCATCAGCTTGCAGAATTGAGCAGGTTTTCCCTTTTCTCCCAATTCCCTGCTCAATGTGTATGTTTTGGTTGGAGCAGTGGCTATAGCATCTTGAAAGAGCTTGTCTGCAAACTCTAATGATAACCTGTATAGCACATCAAAACAACGTGCTTTGAGATAATCTGCAGTTTAGCTTTTCTCAGCTATATTATATCATCAGCAACTTTAAAGCCCTGGCACGTTTTATCAATGTAAATAAAGCACATTTTCTTTTTGTAGTAGGGATTCACTTTCAAAATATGATTTATTTTCTCTCATAGTCCCTTGCTGTGTTGTAGACTCTCATAAAAGAGTTGTGGTCTTCCAAACTTTCATCTTTTATAATCTGTCCTGGTATTATTTTCATTTTCTTGGCAGTGTCTGGGTATCATAATTTCTCATCAAAATAATTATCCTGTTTTAGGATTTAGATCACAGAAAAGTGTCACATTCTATACTAGCATTTTCTTGCTGAAGGAGCAAAATATTGGCAAAATGATTTGTGTGGTATCAGGTATGCGCATGTAAGAATCTTAAAAGTGTCTAGGGAATCAGGGCTCTTTTAGAACTCTTTTAATTTTTTTTTTTTTTATTAGTGACCATTGCAAGTTGTTTACTTATGTTAGTAGCTCAAAACAAGCCAATACATGATAGCCTTTGTCTAAAAGTCTTTTGAAGGGAACGTAAAAGTAGGATAGCCTTGGGTTTCTTTTTATGGCGTTAATCCTCTCTAAGGCTCTTAAAATTTATTCCCATCTCTCCATAATTCGTTTGTTCTGTTATAACCTGACATAATTTCTATTCTTGTAATGTTAAACTTCAAAGTTCACTTGTAAATCTTTAGATTTATTAAATGCTCTTTCCCATTGACAAACCAGTTTGAAGGAAGCTTTTGAAAGATTACTTAGCAAATTGCCCTAAGTCATTGTCGTTAATGGCTAGATCATTATTTCTCACAGCAGTGCTTTGGAGGCCAGGAGATTTTGCAAGTTGTGAAGTTCAGTGTCCTTCAGTTCTAACCTTAGAAATTGCAAGAGATGGAGGAGAATCTTTCTTGTTGAATAAACTACTCCTTGTCTGTCTGACTGTAGGAGACTTTTGTCTACTGTCTTATCCCATGTTCTTAAAATTGAGGGCTGTATATTTCACTGTCTTTTTCTAGCTCTCATTATCTTGTTTTGGGAGTAACGAAAAACAATCAGAAGTTGTTCACAAATACTTGTTAACATTTGAGTATGTTAACTGGTGCCTTAACAGACTTTTAATAATACCATAGTCTGTGTCTGCTTTGTGGAATTCGAAGTCGGATGGTAAAACTGAAATTTGAAGAGGATAATGGGAATTACCAACAGAGGTTATGATCGTTTAAAATATGACCTGCAAAATTTACCTGCTCTAACTAGAACAAAAGGTCGTATCATGAAGACTTTTTTTTTCACATCTGAATACTGTGTTGTTAGGGTAGATAATCCACTCCTCAGAATATGTAAATCAAAAGTTAATGTCAAAATCGGCTGGAAAATAGTGTAAAATGGTGATACTTTTTGAATAGCTATTTTTCACAGCCATTTTCATGTTTTAATCTCTACAGTAACTCTGAAGTTGATTTTACTTCCATTGGACAGCTGAGGAGATGGAGACTTGGAGATTACGAAACTTGGCTAAAGTCACAGGGATACTAAGTGATAGATTTCAACTTCAGGCCAGGTCTTCCGAATCTGAGTGCTGTGCTTCTAGGTTCACATACAGGATTCCTAAATCTTAATTTGCATCTCACTTTTTTTATCTTTAGGAAAGGCTTACTCAATAACATTTTGAATTAGAGGATTTCCAAGTTAAATTTCATGCCACCATTTTGAACTTCCTGAAGTTACCAGCTAGGGAGTAACCTAATGTAATATAGCAGATCTAGCCCAGTTAGAATGCTTCCAGGCTTAGCAAATGCTATCAAATACCATTTGATATATTAACAGCCCTATCATTTAAAAATGTTATTAGCCTATAATTACTTTTAAAAATATATTTTACTGGGAGTTGGTTAATAGCTATTTTTCTGTGTTCCCCTCCCCCTCAGACTACTGAGGAAAAATGAAATATTTTAGTTTTATAATTCTGGCTCAGAGTTTTGTGACTCTAGAGTATATTAGAGACAAATCAATTCTACTATCTCACTTTTCTGTTGATCCAAACTATACTTTAGAAATATGAAGTAGTCTAAGATCAGAGGGTGACATTATGAGGTAGCTGGGACTAGAAACTTGCTTAGTCTCTTAATCTCTTGCCCTTCCTGTAGTACAGTGCTGTTAATTCTTAATGCCTTAGATCTTCTTTTCTTTTCAACTATGCCTGCACATTGGAATCACGTGGAGAATTTTAAAAATCTCTGGATCTATCTCACAGAGATTCTGATTTAATTGGTTCAGGGATGTTACCTGGGCATCAGAATTTTTGAAAGTTTCTCTGGTGATCTTCATGTGCCACCAAGATTGAGAACCACTGTTCCATCCCCTTCCTTATTCTTATGTCTATGGTTTCAGTTATAGCCTGGATGCTGACAATTCCCAAACTAAATTACTGAATTAAAACAAACCTAGTCCTCACCTCTGATCCTTATATCCAACTGATTGCTTAGTACTTAACGCTAGAATATCATGCAGGCAACTCAAACTCAGTGTGTTTAAAACTGACCTCAAAATTTGTACACACACCCATTCCCATGCCCCCAAACGTCTTTTTCAGTACTGTGTCTCTGGCTCACTGAATGATACCAGTGTCCTGGTTGTGCAAACTGAAACCTGAGTCCAGTAGTGCCTGCCTTTTCACTCTTCCATATCTGGTCACCCCATCTTGCCTCTTTTACCTTCTAAATGTCACTCCCAGCACCCCCAGTCGAAGCCTCTATCATCTCCAGCCAGGATGTTGGTTGCAGATCTCCCTGAATCCATTTATGCTCCATTTCTAATCTTTTTCCATATTGCAGTGTTAGTGGTCTTTGAAAAATCCAAAGTTAATTGTGGTTCTCTCCTACTTAACACCATTTAGTGGTTTCCCATTGCTCTTAGGAGAGACCAGAATTCCTGATCCTGGTTAACATGACCCTGCGTGGCAGTTCTCCATCTCCCAGCATCA